GCTGGAACCCATTCTACTAAGTGAAGTATCCCAAGAGTGGGAAAGTAAGCACCACATGTACTCACCATCAAATTGGCTTCAGTGATCAACACCTAAGTGCACATATAGGAGTAACATTTATCAGGTGTCGGGCAGATGGGAGCGGGAGGAGGGGATGGGTATACATACATAATGAGTGTGATGTGCACCATCTGGGGGATGGACACGCTTGAAGCTCTAACTGGGGAGGGCAAGGGCAACATATGTAACCTAAACATTTGTACCCCTGTAATATGCAGGAAAAAAAATCAGGTGCCCATATATGTGCAGGTTTATTTCTGAATTCTCTATTAGGTTTCATTTGCCCTTTTTCTTATCTTTATACCAATATCATACCATCTTGGTTAATTTAGATTTATGTTAAATCTTGAAAACACGTAAGCTTAGCCTTTTGTATTCTATCTAGTAGGGCTTCTATAAAACAATACCATAGACTGGGTGGCCTGAACACCAGAAATTTATTTTCTCAAAGTTCTGGAACCAGGAAGTCCAACATGATGTGTCTGCAGGTTTGGTTTCTCCTGAGGCCTCTCTCCTTGGCCTTTAGGTGGACCCTTCTTGCTGCCTCTTTACATGGCCTTTATCTGTGTGTGTATGTCTGTATCTCTTCCCCTCCTTATAAGAATTGGTCCTATTGGATTCGGGCCCTAACTTTATGTCCTCATTTAACCTTAATTACATTTTACAAATATTGAGTCTTCCAGTCCAACATCTGTTTCTTATACAACCTGACAATCAAAGCTATTTAATATGAGTGATGCCTGAATCTTCCTCTAACCCAGACTAGTTCACACTTTTACTTGAAGAGACCAAAAATCTTGACTAATGTTGGACTATTATCTTAATCTCACATACAAACACTCTAACAGCAAGTACTTCGGATATGCGCAACATGTGGCCGTTTCTCACTGCTCCCACTGGGTCCAGCCTGGTCTGGCCACCCTGTCTCCATGGTGATGCATCAGCCTCCTCACTGGGCTCCTGCTGGCTTCCCTTCTCTAAATTTACTTCACTTCCCACTTATCAATGCCATGAGCCCAAGCCTGAGAAACATGTTCACCATCTTAATTGAGGTAAACTTGGTGTCCCAACTATATGAGACAGAGAAAGAGACCATAACTCCACTTCCCATGAGAATCAAGTGTCATATATAGGCCAGCTGGCCCAAGTGACCACTGTGCCCAGTTTCAATCCTACAGTTCCCAGGGTTCAGTGTGATATAATTGGCCACCTTCACCTGAAGGCTCAGGCTTATTGCAAGGTCTAGGTGTTAAATATTCTTTGTGCTTTCTGTTCTGAGATCTGATCAAAATGAAGAGTCACTTTTTTTTTTTTAACATATTCTTTTCATCATTTCCTCCATTAAGTAATAGCTTCTCTTTCTCATCAACTCATAAAGAAAAATAAAAATTTTAGGACCTCCTCCCCAACTCCTTATGCAAAAGAGAAGGTAAAGGCCTCAGGCCCCTGTAAAGGACTTACTCCATACATCATTCATGAGGAAATTCCTTGCTGGCCTCTTGTAAGCAAGGACATGCACATTACAACTTTGGGTCTATAAACTAAGTCTAGCTCCTAAAACTAAAGTCTATTGAATTCCACATTAATAATGTGGAATTTCTTCTCAGGTGAAGAACAGAGACAAGACAAAATCATTCTTCTACCTACCCATGGACACCTGCATAATTGATGCTTCCTTCACTCCCCTTTTTTTCTAATAACACTCACCTTATCTTATGTAAAATGTAGATGTTTCTTGGCCTCACAAGAACGTATCTATCTTGGCTCACTGCTCACCCCCCTGATCTTTTTTCTTCTTTCTGTATGCCTTATTCCCCTTAAATATTGAAGCCCCCAAATTCCCCATCAGAAAAACAGCCACGGATTTGCCTGTGGCTTGTGTTTTCCTTGGGCACATCCTCAAATTTTGGCTTAATAAACCTCCATTGATTGAGACCTTTACCTCAGTCACTTATTTTAAATTGTCAAACCTAAGTATCCTTTATCTTATGGGAAGAGGACATTGGCCATCAATTCCTAGAATATAATATTCTGCTTCTTCCTAACATTTTCAAATTTGAATTTGTTCTCTCTGAAGGGGTATCACTCCCTAACTTACTTTCTCTCTTTCTCTCCTTTTTTTCATTTGTACTCAAATATCATGTCAAGTGGAGCCAAAATTTTTGTTAGACACTGAATTCTCTCCCTTGGAAAAATGAGCAAAATTTTCATCAAAATTCATTCATTCATAAATTTTCATTATAAAATAATGTTTATATACATTATTTGCAGCACTATATCTTTTTTCCATGTTGTGGTTGTTTTCAGAATAAAGTGCTTTAGAATATTTGTCTATTCATTTGACATTTTAATTAGTAATCAGATTCTATGGCATTTTATTTTCAATTAATATATGCAATTTTGTCACTTGAATTCTATAGGTTAAATATTGTATGTAAAGCATTAAGGTGAATCATACAAAATCTTTGGTGATTGTAGGAACTTAGAATTTTTTTTTTTTTGAGACAGAGTCTCCCTTGTTGACCAGGCTAGAGTGAGTGCCGTGGCGTCAGCCTAGCTCACAGCAACCTCAAACTCCTAGGCTCAAGCAATCCTTCTGCCTCAGCCTCCCGAGTAGCTGGGACTACAGGCATGTGCCACCATGCCCGGCTAATTTTATATATATATTAGTTGGCCAATTAATTTCTTTGTATTTATAGTAGAGACGGGGGTCTTGCTCTTGCTCAGGCTGGTTTCGAACTCCTGACCTCGAGCAATCCACCCGCCTCAGCCTCCCAGAGTGCAAGGATTACAGGCGTGAGCCACCGCGCCCGGCTGGAACTTAGAATTTAAATCACAAACATTATTAAAATGAAGTTTTTATTTGATATGAAGAAAATATTTATATTTAGTTAGGTCTGATAGCAATATTTGCATTAGATTTTTTAGATTCATTAGAAATTGGTGTTGAAATATCTACAATACGATGTGGTCTGCTATGTTTGCATTAAAATGCCACTAGGATAGCTAGTATTGGTCACTGAAAATCATGGCAAAATAATGAAAACTTTTTAAGCTTTTTGATTGGTACTCTTCTTGATGGGTCATGTAATTATTTTTACTATGTGTAAAATGTGTGCATTTATATAATAATATTTAAATAAAGCACATAAACATTCTAATAAAAATGCCTAATATATGGAACATCAGCACCATTCTATACAGAAAAAAAAGGCAAATCATCTTGCTGCACATTGTGGTAATGGATTTTGATGATGATCATTAGATCTGGGTATGACAATTGAGATGCCTGAGTAGAAGACAGTGCAGCATTATAATTAGGAAGAGAAAACTCTAAATGTCTCTCTAAGTATGGACAGTGGTATTACCAAAAATGTTTGTGCAAGATTTTCTCTGTGGGTGTTACTGAGGAATGTCATTCTTACCTAATTACAACATTGCATTTCCCTAACAATCTGTGAGTTAGAGCAATGTGTCTTCTATAAGTAATATAGAATGGCCCTTCGCCTGAGAGCACATGCTCTGTGGCCACCGGACCATCATGTTGTCCCATGTGATGTGCCAGACCCATGCCAACATTCTGAAGTGCTGCTAAAGCGCAGACCAGAAACCAGTCGGGCCCTTACCGGCTGCTGCTCATGGGCTCCATGTCCCTTTTTCCCCAGGCCAGCCCTGATCTTTCCACTGCTGTATGCAGGCCACAGGAGGAGGAGGAGGTGGTGCTGTGCCCACCAGTGCCCTTTCTGGATGTGCAAGACCTGGCCATTGGGTCACTACATGGGAGCCACTAATCCCTCAAGGCCCTGGATGCACTTATCAGATTTTAGGCACCTCTCGGAAGCCTAGATCTCACACCCCACCTGCCCAGTCACAGAAATCACATGTTTTAAGTGTATATTCCATGCTTTGCAGTGTATTTGCAGAGTTATATAACCACAATCTTGGGAGTTCCCTCCTCCTGGAGCCCCATCATTCTCTGTTCAGTGTATAATTTCTGGAAGGGGGTGAGTCCCTCCCAAACAGCAGGTGAAATTAGCGGTCTATCTGTGGACACTTCCTGCTTACAGCCCACTGTTTTCTCTTGGGGCACCATCTCTCCCACGCTTGGGCCTAAGGACAGATGATGGTAGGTTGGGATGTTACCTTGCCCCTGACAAAAAAGCATGGATCAGGCCTATCACCACTCTGAGGTCAGGGAAGTCACACCTCTCAGTGCTGCCCCTACTTCAATGTGGCAACCACTGGCCATGTAGGGCTACTGACACCTGTAAGGTGGCTGGTCTGAACTGAGATGTGCTACATGCTTAAAACATAGAATGAGTTTCAAAGATACAATACCAAAAAAATGCTTCATTAATAATTTTATATTGATCAATTATAAAAACAATACTTTGGATGTAGGTGATTAAATTATTACAATCAATTTTACTTGTTTCTTTTTCTTTTAGTGGCTATTAGAAAATTTTAAATGACACGTGTCTCACATTTTATTTCTGTTGGACATTGCTGCCTCAGAAATGCCTCCATTTTCAAAGCTCAGGCTGCCTCCTCAAAAGATTAGAAGCCAGCATGGTTACAAAATCTCAAATTTTAAATTAATTGTCATCGTGTAATTTCCACTTGTGAACAACATATATATTTATGTATGTGTGTATATATATTTATACATAAAATTTATTAAAGGACATAAGTTATATTCAAGGTTAAATATAAATGTGTCCCATGCAGGGCCAGGTCCCAGAGCAGAGGCAAAGCCCTGTCTAAAAATAACTACAGCCAAAAACTTTTTACTCTGTCCTCATTCAGTACTCAGTCTGACCTCGTCTCCTGTCACTCATGGCCAGAGGGGTGGGGCCTAGAGCCTTATCCAATCAGGGGTGTCGAGGTGAAAACTGTCCAATCAGGTACTCGGCCAGAAAGAAGGAGGCGGCTTCCGGGACCTGGCGCGGCCTTTGTCTCTTGCCCTAGGCAGGGAGCTGGCGTTCTCTCTCACTGTTCGGTTTTCAGAAAGGCCCAGGCGTCTCCGCGGCTGCCTCTTTCACTCTGTGACCTGCAGATACTGGGATATCCATAGGGAGGACATCGGGACACCCCTGAAGCTGGGAAACGGTGAGCGTGCGGGGCAGGGATCCTCTGTGAGGGAAAGGAGCTGGTCGGGGCGCCGGAAGCGGCTGCGGTGGACCCCGGCTTCCTCGCATCAGCTCTAAAGTCTTGGAGGCGGAAGTTCGTCACTGGCACACCTTAGCCCTCAGTTCCCTCCAGCCACCCGGTGGGGTTGGGTGGGCGTTGGGACCCTGGGCATACTCTGTTGTCCCTGCACGGGAGCTCTCTGTGCAGCTCTGCGCAAACAGCCTCGCGTCTCCAGACTGTGCGGGGACATGGGAGGGTGCTCAGTGGAGAATATACCACATAAAGCTGTGCGGGCTTTATGCATGAGAGGAGCTGGAGTTCATGAGGTCCCCATACCTCTGTCAATGGAAAAGAAGCCAAACTCTAAAATAATTTAAAGAGGTTTACTCTGAGCTAAAGTGGAAGGCTGTGGCCCCTAGCTGCCCAAGAAGCCTTAAGCAAGTGGACTCTCTGTGGCTAGGTTTCAGTTTGGTTTCATACATTTCAGGGAGGCAGGAATTACAGGTAAAGTCATAAGTTAATACATGGAAGGCATACATGGGTTTGGCCCCAAAAGATGGGACATCTCAAAGCTGGCTTAGGGGTTATAGGTGGGTTTAAAGACTCTTTGACTTGTAAATGGTTAAAGAAAGGAAGCTTTGTCTAAAGGCTTGGTATGTTTTAAGTTAAGTTAAAGTCTGTTAATGAGAGATAAGCTACTGGCCATGTATATGTTGTGTAAATTGAGGACCCCCAGGTTTGTCTTGCATATCCTTAGGCCTGTTAATGAGTTAAGAAGTATGTCTTCAAGAAGGGATGGGGCATGATGAGGCATGTCCAACCTCCCCTTTCATGGCTAGTAACTCAGTTTTAGGGTATTCCCTTAGTCGACAAGGGTGCATTTAGTCAACCAGTGGGGATGATCCTTAAGATTTTATTTTAGTTCACACCTATTTTCATGTATTAAAAATTAAACTGAGGAAGTGTGAATACTTAAAAGAATTTATTTGAGCAAATAGTAATTTGTGAATCTAGAAGACTACAAACAGGGTTTGTGGTCTTGAGGCCGCTCAAAAAGTTTGAAGGAAAGGCTTTTATAAAGGTACATGAGGAAGCAAACTATATTCAGTAGTTGACTAGGTACAGTGATAGTGGCCTTATTTGGACTATCCACATAGCTACTTTCTAGTTATGTAATCAGAGCTTTATTGGCAGTTTGTAGTTGTTTGCCTAAGTTTTTTTTCATCTAAGTTGTAATTTATAGGAAATGCATTTGAGTTAGAATTAGGTGTCTTGTACATAGGAACCTAGGGCATTACAGACACTTCAGTCTAATTGCCCCCTGTTTAACTATTTTAATGCTTTCTAGGGGGACTGATTTTCCTTGCATTTTCCAAAAGTGTGTCAAGCAGTGTCTCAGGATCCAAGACTCAAATCCAGTTTGCCCAGCCTGACTGTTTTAAGGCCTGTTAGATATCATAAATTTTCAGTTTCTTCCCCACGTTCTCAACTGCCTACTGCTGCTCTTCAACTCATAACATTATCAACTATTTGACCTTTATTTTTCAAACAGATACAGTATTTTAATTGTTTTTTTCCCACAGTGCTGAGGGTGTCTCTTTTTAAAAAACTTGTTTTCTGTTTCTGAACATTTCAAATGAAAGAAAAATAGAGAATAATTGGCTGACACTCTCCTATAAAATATCTTTGTGATTCTCTTCCTTTTACCTGCCCTAGGCACACACACCTTACCAGACTATCTTTACGTTTTGGTTATCCTTTGGAAACTTTACAGAGTGAAGTGTCCTCAGCCATCCTCCTGTCTTTTCCTGGTCCTTGTTTCACAACTGTTTGGGGATGGCCCAAGATGCCCCCAGCAGCCATGTATCCTGGAGTATCTAGTGAATGTCAGCCCTGTGTCATCTCCTCCCAGAGGACAGCCTGTGGGTTGGGGTAACAGCTGCCTGCCCTGGTGCTGAGAGGAGTCTCTTATAGTCCCTTCACCTAGAAAGCTAATCCCTTGGGACCTTAAGCATTTCTTTTCCCAAGCTGAGCTTCCATTCCATGTGGATACATTGGCATTCACCCAGTAGGATGCTGGTATTGAAAGGAAAGGGAAAAAATGACTCTTGCCCTCTGAATTCTTTCATACTTTTAAAGGGAGTAAAAAACTATCCCAAGAAAGAAAATCCCACCAAAATGATGCAGTGCAAGAAGCTGCAAAGCAATTGGCACTTCAGGCACACAGAGGCAATGAGCAGGATGGGGTGGCAGGATTTCCCAAGTGATAGGATGGCCTGACTTGACACCGGAGTCACACATGCCTGTGCTGCAGTCAGCACCCCCCTCCCTGGACTTTTTACCTTGAAAGGATTTATTTTTTAACTGTAAAGTGTATTTTATCAGCAAAGGCTGAAAGATAATAAAATATTTTCAATGACACAAGAAAGAGGTGGTTTTTAGGGAAAGAAATCTAGTTTTGTATTTCATTTGTTAATAATTCTTTTTAACCTTTTTTCTTCCCCACTTTGAGAGTTGTGGGATTCTATGGTCTGTTCTATTTTGGGGTGATTTCAAATGCTATCCCAGGGCTTACCTTTGGTTATGCTACTGAGGAAAAGAAATAGGAAAAACATCTCTGTTATTATGGCTGCAGAAAAATGAATACATTTCCACGAGAAAGTGTGGTAGATAGATTGTTGAAGTATAAATATTCACCGAAACATCAGTTTCTCTCTTATACAGAGTGGGAGTTTTTGACAGTACACAACTCTGTTCTGTGTCCTGTGATCTGAATACCAGCATTCATAGCTAAATTTTATGTGACAGGACTTGGTAGTTACTAGAAGTGTTCACATATGATTCATGTTTACTAAATGATTTGTTATAGAAATAATTAAATGACATGTTTATTGTCTGAAAGGAATAGATATTTTTGCTTTTCCTATTGAGATATGAAATGTAAGTCCTTTATACTTTTCTTAACCTTTTATAAACATAAACACGAGTTTGAGTGATTTTGCTGGATTCTTCAAACACTGGCTGTTTTTCATTTAAAACTAAGTGAATATCCTTAACTGAGAAGCAGAGACCTGGGCTTAGAGACTCAAGGCCAAGGTCTATCCTGATCTAGCAAAAAGAGGTCATTGAAGGTCCAGTTAGTTCTTCCTGGGAAGCTTCCTTGGCAGGAGTCCCAGTCTGTTTACACCCACCACAGAAGGAGCCCTTTATGCTGAGAGAAGCTACGGAGAGTCCTGGAATCCTGGGATCCACAGGCAGATAGGGTTGGGGTTGGGATGGGAGTGGGGCTGTGATGCCCTTTCTGAGGGTGTAATTGTTATTGTCCTGGGGCTGTTTTTAGATATTATCAAATAAAATTAATCCTACTTTAAGCTAAAAGTAATTTTATTCTAAAGTAGTATTGCTATAGAATAAAAGTACCAACTATAAGATCTGCAAAAATCCTGCTGTGAATTATGGAATACTTAGTACCTGACTTACAGGGTATTAGGAGTATTAACTCAAACAATTTGAGTTTCCCAGCACAGTGTACTGTAGCATACTTGTTGAGCACAAAGTGCATTGTCAATAAATATTGTATTAATGCATGTGCACATGTTGTTTTCTAAATGACTTCCTCAGATATAGTTACCTTTCTAGCCTCTGTAAACTTTAAAGGGCCAGCAGAAAATGTTGTTTCATGGTGGTAACTTGTGGTCTTCAGTTGCACCAGAAGAATTTATGTTGTGCTAAGAGTGTTCAGTGTAAGGGACTCTGTGCTATGTCTGCTGTCTATAGATGAGTGCTACTGGTGACAGGTCTGGGGAAGCAACGTCAGCATTCACAGGGGACTTGTTAATGAAGCCAATCCATGGACTCCTTTCACACCTGTAGAATCACATTACTTAGACTGGGGCAAGACACTGAATGACTTCTATGTAGATTGAAGCTGGAGAGGCAATGCTCAGCTAAGTGGTTCTTAGCTAAGGCTTCCAGTTATAATCCAGTGACCAGTTTGAAGACATACCATCACTTGTGCCCTCCCTACAGATTCTGGCTATTGGTCTGGGTGGCAGCATCCATGTGGTTTTAAGTAAGTGTCCATATGATTCGAAGGTGAGGACAGGGTCAAGCATGTGGGCTCCGTGATCCATTCATGAGAGATGAGTCCAGCCTTTTTTCTAAAGGGAGGTCCCAGTGCCTGCTCTGCTTGGGTTTGGTGGTGATGGATCACTGTGGCCCATATTCCCATTGCTGCTGCAGAAATTGCTGGTACCTGTGGCATGGGAGGGCACCTGATGACATGAAAGGAGAAACTCACATTTTCATCTTTATGTAAGATCTCATTGTTTCAGAATCTCTACTGTGACAAAATACAGATGAATGTGGCCTTTCTGTACTTTATAGTTCTTTTGCCTGTGGGTGTAGTGGTAGCAGATAAAGGGGCTGTGCTGATGCCTGAAATGCATATTCTCAAGATGCAGCTGTGATTTGTTCAGTCTCACCTGAGAAGGAATCCTAGAGAAGCAGGAAGAGGATAAGAAATGGCTGGTTCTCAGGTAAGAGTCCCCCAGGGCAGGGTCTGTGTCCTAATTTTGCTCCTAGAATGTCATGTATTTAGGACTTGCAAACTGTTGTTTCTCTACTTCTGAGGTTTCTGCCTAAAAAGATTGGCTCAGCTACTTTTTTTCCCATTTCTTCTTATGATTTCCAAGGGGCTCTTTAAAATCCTCTTCTGCTACACACCAGAGCCTTCTCTCCATTCTCAACATCTAGGCTTTTTACATATTAAGAACAGTTCTCACCACGAAATTCTGACCTGCAATTTTAAAAACGTTCCCTTTTGACAGATCAACATGGGAAGGTGTGTATATACAAGATTCCTCTTGGGCATAGGGTTGGCTACTCATATACTAGTGAACAAGGGAAATATATGCTGTTGAGGTTCTATCCAAATGCCCATCATCTCCATTCCAAATAGGATTTAAAAATGCACACTTATGGCTGGATATGGTGGCTCATACCTATAATTTTAGCACTTCAGGAGTCTAAGGCAAAAGGATTAGTTGAGGTCAGAGGTTTGAGACCAACGTGGGCAAGAACGAGAAATCAGTTGGATGTGGTGGTGCATGCCTACATTTCCAGCTACTCAGGAAGCTGAGGCAGGAGGATTGTTTGAACCCAGGAGTTTGAGGTTGCAGTGAGTTATCATGATGCCACTGCCTCTAGCCTGGCCTGGGCACCAGAAAGAGACCCTATTTAAAAAAAAAAAAGCATATTTAAAGAGGATGACAGTAATTACCAAGGTAACTCAGAAAGTTATGAAAAAGATCAATTAGATTAATTAATTCATGAGTGGATTAATGAAATGTGGTATATGTATACCATGGAGTACTATTCAGCTCTAAGAAACAACGGTGAAGGATGACTTCTGGGGCCCCCCTCTCTTGGGGCCCCAGAACCTCGTCCAGGAAAAAGAAAAGAAAAGAAAAAAAGAAACAACAGTGATATAGCACATCTTGTATTTTCCTGGATAGAGCTGGAACCCATACTATAAGTGAAGTATCCCAAGAATGGAAAAATGAGCACCACATATACTCACCAGCAAACTGGTATTAACTGATCAGCACCTAAGTAGACACATAGGAACTACATTAATTGGGTATTGGGTGGGTTGTAGGGGGGAGGGGGAGCGGGTATATACATACATAATGAGTGAGACATGCACCGTCTGGGGGATGGTCAGGCTTGAAGCTCAGACTTGTGGGGGGAGGAGGACAAGGGCATTATTTGAAACCTTAAAATTTGTACCCCCATAATATACTTAAATAAAAAAAAAAGAGAGATCTGCTCTCTAGGATGCTAAAGAAAGACTATTTAAATGCACTACTGGAGATTACAGAACATGAGAAATATATATGATTTGAACTTCGCATAAAACTGATATTTTTCATGATTATGTTCAGATTATGATTCACTTTTTCTGGCCAATCGCACAGTGGTGATGTCTCTTGTACACATCAGCACTTCATACTACTTTGTCCTCCTCCAGTTGATGTTCATTCACTGGGTTAAGGTGCTCTATGACAGATTTCTCCACTACAAAGTTAATGATTTTTTAGTTTATCTTTAAGAAGTATCTTGGGGAATTTTAATGGCTTATATACATAAATTATCACATTAAATATAGAAGCTCCCCTTCTTAGTTTCTCTTGGCTTATGGCTTGCTTTGAGAAATCAAGGTTCTCATCTTTGTTTATTGGTCAGACAAACTAGGATAAAACTCAGGCTCTTCCACTTACTGTATGTTTGACACAGTATTGTTTTGGGGCCAGAAGAGGTTGCATTGCTGAGGAGTTTGTTAGAAATGCAGAAACTTAAGTTCCACTCCAGATCTGAATCAGAATGTGCATCTTAATAAGATCTCAGTTCACTGTAGTACACATTAACATTTCAGAAGTAGCCTTCTAACTCACCATGACTTCCATGTGAGAGCTTATTGTGTGTGGTGTATATGCCACTCAAAAATGTATATGCCTGTGTTGATGCCCTTATTTTTATACTTTATCATCAAGAAAAGTATAGTATCTACACTTGTTTTGTGGATCTTTTTGCCATCCTCTGTCCTCAGAGTTAGAGAATATTACAGAGTATTACTATGTTAATTATTGGATAATTCCAGTCAATTCATATATGTCAGAGGCAGGTCTTCTTCACTCTCATTTTACATGTAATCAAATTAAGAATTCTATTCATAACTACTTGGTAAGTATGTGATTTTTTTCCTAGGGGTTGCTAACATTCAAGGATGTGGCCATAGAATTCTCCTGGGAGGAATGGGCATGCTTGGATCCTGCTCAGCAGAATTTGTATAGGGACGTAATGTTAGAAAACTACAGAAACCTGGTCTCCCTGGGTGAGGACAACTTCCCTTTAAGATTCCTAATGCACCCTTAGGGTTTCATTTTCTTTCCTTGTGGAATTTTATTTGGAGTTTCTGTTTTATATGAATGAGTTTCGTTTCCCTGCTCTCAGTAAAAACTTGGGAGCTTCCTGATGTAGGAAAATATCTTCAAGATGTTTTATCTTGAAATGAACTGTCCCCTTTCTTGAACTGATCTGTGTACTTCACTGTAATTTGGTGGAAAGTCTGGAAATTCAGTGGTATAAAACATTATTGGCCAGACCTTAAAATATAATTTTTACCACCAATTTTTAATTCAATAGTACTAAGGACGAATTTAAAATATTTTCTAAATATTCTAATGGTTCTGTCAGGAAACAGGATTTTGAGTTTAATTTTTTTTTTTTTTACAATCTTCTATTATGTTCTCTCTTCGGTACTGAGCACAGTATTACATTGGTAATTGGAAAATTCTAGCAAGAGTTATGTTATTTTTTTTCTAATAAAATAGGTCTTGTTGTTTCTAAGCCGGACCTGATCACCTTTCTGGAGCAAAGACGAGAGCCCTGGAATGTGAAGAGTCATGAGATAGTAGCCAAACACCAAGGTAGGTGGGAATGAATGAAGCAGATGACACAGATGAGAGGTCCAAAGATCTAGTCAGACTGTAAAATGTGCATGGGAAGCTGTGCTTCAAAAGAAATGATTTCTGAGAAGCCTGGATTTCTTTCCTGTGCTCTCACATAGGGACATCTGCTATTTTATGCTCTAAAACTCTCTAAGGACTCTGCTTCCTTTCAGTGATCTTCCTTCATAGTTGTAGTAAGAGCCAATGTCATCTTCATAGCCTATGAGGGACTGTATTATCTGAGTGCTATTCCATTTCTTTTGAGGACATAAGAATATGTGTGCATATTTTTGAGGAACTCTATATTAAACCTTTTTTTATGTTCCCTGTTGACATCATCTGAAATGTGTATGAGTAATACACATTAGTAGTATTATTGATATTTTTCGCAGGAACATCAGTGACAGATGTACATATTCTGCTTTATCATTTCCTATCAAATGTAGCTTTTCATTGTTATTTTGCAGGAATTTATACTCAGTAATTTTATCAGAACACTAAGAATCTCTCAAAATGTAAAAAAAATAATGCTATTTTACTTCAAAAAATTAATGCTATTTTACTTTATTTTTTTTAGCGTGAACTGAAATTAACAATTTAAATTCTATATTTTTATATTCCTCAACTATAATATAGTTTAGTAAACCTACTCACTTCCTAGATTTCTTAAATATGCCATTTGGGATCACAGAACATTGCTCAGTATGTATTAAACTCCCACTCATGGTCTTATATTTTTAATAACTAGTTTTATAGGTTTCTCTTGTTTGGTATGAAGCTTACCTTGACTGTATCATTCATATATATACCTCTGTGTGTGTGTGTGTGTGTATACACGTGTGTATAGCATGTAGATTTGTATAAATATATATTGTATACAGTGTAATGACTTGATATTTATAAATTGTATAATAATTAATACAATCAAGTTAATGAACACATATATCACTTAACAGTTACTTTTTTTGGTATTGAGAACATTTAAGGTCTACTATCTTAGCAAATTTGGGGGAATAAAATATTATTATCTATAGTCATCATGCTACATATTAAATACTCAAAAGTTATTCATCTTACAACTGAAAGTTTGTACCCTTTGGAAAGCATTTTTCTGTGTTCCCCACGTGCAGGCTCTGTAACCACCTTTGTATTCTCTGATTCTATGAGTTCACCCTTTTTAGAATTCTCATATAAATGAGAACATGAAGTATTTGCCTTTCTGTTTCTGACTTATTTCACTTAGCATAATGTCCTTCAGGTCTGTCATGTTGTATAAATGGCAGGACTTCATAATTTTTATGGCTGAATAATATTCTGCTATGTATGTATACCACATTTCTTTATCCATTCCATGTCCACAAACACTGACGTTATTTTCATATCTTGGCAATTGTGAGTAATACTGCAATAATGTAGGGGTATAGATATTTTTTTGAGATTCTGATGTTATTATATTTCCTTTGGTTATATACAGAGAAGTGGAATTGCTGAATTGTATGTTAGATTTATTTATTTTTTTCTTTTTTAAAGAGCTTCCATACTGATTTTCATAATGAATCACCAATTTATTTATTTATTTATTTTTCTTTATTTTTTTATTTTATTTTAGTGTATTATGGGGGCACAAGTGTTAAGGTTACTTATATTGCCCATGCCCCCCTCCCCCCCTCAAGTAAGAGCTTCAAGCGTGTCCATCCCCCAGACGTTGCACATCTTACTCGTTATGGTTGTATATACCCATCCCTTCCAAACCCCCTCTCACCCTCCCGACACTCAATAAATGTTACTCTTATATGTTCACTTAGGTGTTGATCCGTTAATACCAATTTGCTGGTGAGTACATGTGGTGCTTATTTTTCCATTCTTGAGATACTTCACTTAGTAGAATGGGTTCCAGCTGTATCCAGGAGTATACAAGAGGTGCTATATCACCATTGTTTCTTAAAGCTGAGTAGTATTCTATGATATACATATAACATATTTTATTAATCCACTCATGAATTGATAGGCACTTGGATTGTTTCCACAGCTTTGCAATTGTGAATTGTGCTGCTATAAACATTCCAGTGCAGGTGTCTTTTTCATAAAGTGACTTTTGATCTTTTGGGTAGATGCCCAGTAGTGGGATTGCTGGATCAAATGGTAGATCTACTTGTATCGCTTTGAGGTATCTCCATATTGCTTTCCACAGAGCTTGAACTAGTTTGCAGTCCACCAGCAGTGTAGGAGTGTTCCTCTCTCTCTGCATCCACGCCAGCATTTGTTGTTTGGGGACTTTTTGATAAAGTCCATTCTCACTGGAGTTAAGTGATATCTCATTGTAGTTTTGATTTGCATTTCCCTGATGATTAGAGATATTGAACATTTTTTCATGTTTGTTGGCCATTCTTCTGTCTTCTTTTGAGAAGTTTCTGTTCATGTCCTTTGCCCATTTTTTGATAGGGTTGTTTGATTTTTTACAGCAGCGTACTATATTTCTTTTTTGTTTTTAGGGTCTCACTCTCTTGCCCGGGCTAGAGTGCTGTGGTGTCAGCCTAGCTCACAGCAACCTCAAACTCCTGGGCTCAAGCGATCCTCTGTCTCAGCCTCCCGAGTAGCTGGGACTACAGGCATGCACCACCATGCCCAGCTAATTTTATATATATATATATATATTTTTTTTTTAATTGTCCAGCTAATTTCTTTCTATTGTTTTAGTAGAGATAGGGTCTCCCTCTTGCTCAGGCTGGTCTCGAACTCCTGAGCTCAAACAATCCTCCTGCCTTGGCCTCCCAGAGTGCTAGGGTTACAGGCGTGAGCCACCACCTGTATGAGTTTCTTATATTTTTTGGATATTTTATCAGATACATGGTTTGCAAATATTTTCTTCCATCCTATATGTTTTCTTACTTTTTTTTTTGTTTCAGTTTTTAATGAACACATGATCTTGTTTTTACTAGTATATTCTTATAAAAGTAGTTTGAAATCTGAAAGCATGATGTTTTCAGCTTTTTCTTCCTCAACATTGCTTTGATTATGTAAAGTTTCTTGTAAATTTATATAAATTTTGAATTGTTTTTTTTTTGTTATTGTGAAAAGTGCTGTTGGAATTTTGATAGAAATCACATTAAATATGTAGATTGGTTTGGATAATATGGGTATTTTAACAATATTAATTTTTCCAATACATAAACATGGGATTTTTGACATTATTTGTGGGGTTTTTTTTTTGTTTGTTTGTTTGTTTTTGAGACAGAGTCTCTCTTTGTTGCCCAGGCTAGAGTGAGTGCCATGGCGTCAGCCTAGCTCACAGCAACTTCAAACTCCTGGGCTCAAGCAATCCTTCTGCCTCAGCCTCCCGAGTAGCTGGGACTACAGGCATGCACCACCATGCCCGGCTAATTTTATATATATATATTAGTTGGCCAATTAATTTCTTTCTATTTATAGTAGAGACGGGGTCTTGCTCTTGCTCAGGCTGGTTTCGAACTCCTGACCTCGAGCAATCCGCCCGCCTCGGCCTCCCAGAGTGATAGGATTACAGGCTTGAGCCACCGCGCCCGGCCTATTTGTGGGTTTTTTAAATCAATATTATATCTGTTCAATATAAAGCTCTTTCACCTTTTTGGTTAAATGTGTGCTTAGAATATATTATTTTGATGATACTATAGATTGTTTTCTTTTTTAAATCAGATTGTTATTAGGGTATGGAAGCACAACTTATGTTTCTAGGTTAATTTTATACTCTGCTAATTTACTAAGTTTATTCATTAGTTTTAACAATTTTTGTATAACATTTATGTTTTTGTATATATAAGATTATGTCATCTACAGTGACATTTTTAGTTTTTTCTTTTCTTTTACTTTTTTCTTTACTTTTGGTTGGCTTCCCCCCTCCCCCATTTTCCTGCCAAATTGTATTGCCTAGGACTTCCAGTATTATGTTAAAATAGAAGCACTGAAAAAAGGCACAATATAAAGTTGTGTTGGTATCTGCAATTTTTATAAACTAGTTTTAGCAGGTAAAGATAGCCTCTTGTTGGTTCCTCAAGCTGATGGGATCTCTTCTGGCCTTGCAGTGGAGAGGAGTTGTAGCTTCGTCACAAGGCTGCTGCAAGCCTGTAGTAGCATCTAGCTTCGGTGATCTTGTTACCAGGAGCTTGGGTGGCTGCAAATCCTGTCTTATTTTTGTTCAACACTGTATTGTCTTCATGACTTTGATCTGTGGCGCGGGCACTTGGGCAGGGTTCTGCAGTTGAATCCACATATGTCAGACCTGATACAAGGTGTGTGGCTCCCAACTGAGTACCTGCCAGGGTTTGTTCAAGTCATTCGATGGGTCCCTAGGTGGAGAGGACTGGCCAAGGGTGGCTAAGATGGCGGAAACTGAGTCACGGAACTGCTTTAGAGACCACAGGAAAGACCAAAGTCTGCAGACCTGTTTCCATGGTTATAAATGGACATTTTTCCCCAGCTCTCTGGATGGCAGGGCCACTACCAGACTGTGGCTGGGAGTAGAAAATGGTTACAGAGTAGCTTCAGAATTCTCAGTGGGACCACATTGGATGGGCCAATTCCTGTTTTGTAGTTAAGAACGTGGGTTCTCAATTTGCCACCTAGATTAGGGCCTGCTTTCTCAAAATGCCCTTTCTTGGTCTTGGGCTTTTGTGGAGTTCAAACCTCTCCCTGGCTCCCAAATGTATCATAATGCACTTTTGTCAGTGAATGGCTGGCAAATTATAGGTGCTGGGGGACATATAAAAGTAAGGATTTTCTATTCCTCCTTTTTTTTTTTTTTTTTGAGACAGAGTCTCGCTTATTGCCCAGGCTAGCGTGAGTGCCGTGGCGTCAGCCTAGCTCACAGCAACCTCAAACTCCTGGGCTCAAGCAATCCTTCTGCCTCAGCCTCCCAAGTAGCTGGGACTACAGGCATGCGCCACCATGCCCGGCTAATTTTATATATATATACATTAGTTGGCCAATTAATTTCTTTCTATTTA